TTTGTGGGCCAGAAAATCCTTTCCCAAACTCCATTAACACAACCCAACCGAAAGCTTCGGGAAGATCCTCCACTCCCGTCATACCAAACCAAAAATTTACCTCCAAATTCAATACAATAAAATAGAATAGACCGGTCAACCGTCAACGCAACGCAGAGACTCACCTGTCTATTTTCTATTTATTTCTTTCCCCATTTTTCTGCAACATACGCGAAACTTCCCAGCTCGAAGGAATAACTCTCAAAGCATTCACCCAATTGCTCTCCCCTCCCCTTTTCCACCTCTGCATTCTCTTTGTAATTTCAGTAAACACCTTGTGTGCAATGGAGAATGGAGAAGCAAAAGTGTCCTCTGAACAACCACAAGGCTCTTCTTATACATACTGGGTGAGGGAAGCCACAACCGATGCCGCGCCGCTTCCTGTCCCCAAAAAGCTTACACAAAATGATATTCTTTCGCAAAAATCAGAGCCCGCAACTCTCGGCTCTGTTTGGAACCGGGTATGCTTTTTTATTTTATTTATTTTTATATATTATATATGTTGGTTTATTGATCTGATTCTTTAGATGTTAATCAATGGTTTGTTTGGTGATTGTAGGGAAAGATTTTATCTGTTTTGTTATGTGGGATTATTGCTTGTTGTTTCAGTTACTTGTTATAATGTAGTTGTTAGATCCAAGATTAAGGTTAAAGGAACAAAAAAAGGGTTTTAGTGTACGTAAATTTCTTGTTTTTAGGCTATAATTTCTACGGTATCTGATCTTGATGTTTGGTGCACTGTTGAATTGGTTTTGGTATTTTTTTTCAATTTCTTAAGTGTGTGATATCTTTTTAAGATTGGTTTTGATGTTAAATCAATCTTAATGAGGAATGCCTGGTTTTGGCTGGAGCTCTGTTGAGCTATGAAATTACTTGGGTGAAAATTGTATGTGTTTTGTGTTTGTGTATTTTAAATCTTTTAGTATGTGGTGGGGTAATATCCTCTTCTGATAGCTTGCAGTTGATGGTGTGATTAGTTTTGTGGAGGATTGAGCATGAATTCTTGGCCATATATACTAGGAGCTTAACATCAAATACTTTTCAATTCGAAATTTTTCGTGCTATGACAATTTGTGTGTGTAAATATTGCCATTATTTTTGGTTGATTTTTTATTTGAATTGGTTGCTTATTTCTGTTTGTATGGTTTGTATCTGGTATAGGCAGGAACCTGGGAGGAGAAAAGCCTTAATAAGTGGGCAAGTGATAGAATAAAGGTTTGTATGTCATCAACTGGTAATCATTTTACCCTTTTCTTCTTTTTCTAACTTAAAACTTGTTAGAACTTATTTTTGGTTTTTATTTTAAGGTATTAGGTGAGCATTTGTCATAGTTAAGCCATAGCTTATTTTGTGTTCTAGAAACTATTTTTCTCTTTCCATGTGTAAAGTAGCACTTACGCAAAATTTCTTTGTTTCTTTACTTTGTGCAGGAGTTGCTTATAACAGTGGGCACCCTTGAGTTCCCTGGTGGCAAGGCAGAAATAAAAGAAGTGTCAAACTGTGTAGGCGATGTAAGTTCTTGCGGCATGGATTTGATATTTTGGATTAGTCATTTATGGAGGTTCCAGTTATTTTCCTTAGCTTTTTTGTCTCAGTGAATTTTATCTTTTATCATGTAATATTTATTGCTTTTTCTCTCAGTATTATGGCAGCTTAACTAGTTTTTAAGTAAAGTGAGTTTTGGGAGTGCTAGATCACACTTTGAGACAAGAAAACAGTCTTATGATCATAGAATGTTGGTGTAAAAAGTGTTAACTTTCCTTTATTCTTCTCTTATTTCTCAAGGAAAAGGAATTGAGCTATATAACATTTGGGGCTTCTTTATTAAACTTTTTGCTGACTCTTCTTGAATATCAGCCTTGTATATTGCATAAATTACTTTATGGTTCTTAGTTGTTTTGAGTTAATAGTGGAGGATCTCAATACTTTTTATGATTGTTTAATTTATTATTATTTTGTTATAGCTTAATCAGTTATTATAATGAAAATCTTCCCTTTGTTACTAGGGCTTCACAGTCTTTTATTTTTTTTCTTCTTTGTTTATATCTCTGAATGTACACTTTTCTATTGAGCAGGCATTCTTGGTGACTGTTCGAAACAAGAAACGTGTTGGCTACACTTACGAGTTGACACTGAAAGTCAAAGGTAACCATGTGTGTATACTGGTTTTCATTCTTGTTTTCAATTTATATATTGTGTTTATTTAACAATAATGAAAATATTATTAGGAGAGTGGATTATTCGGGAGGAGAAAAAGGTAGTCAAGGGCCGTATAGAGATCCCAGAGTTCTCATTCGGTGAGCTGGATGATTTGCAGGTACATTCCCTCTATATAAATTTTACTTTGTTGAATAGGTAAAAGTATATAGTAGATATAATATTGAAAAACTCTTTGTTTCATATACTATATAGTTACTGACATTTGATGAGTTGCATTAAATTGAGCAAATGATATGTGTTTGGTGGGGTAAGCCCTTTGTTTTAGACAAAATATACCTCTTAGATTGAAGAGGTATGAATGATATTGTCTGATGTGGGCTGACCTTCATTTGTAACATATGGAGAACAACAGGACTGTTATATGAGGAAGGGGCAATGAAAAACGAGAAACTTTTCACCATGAGCAACTCCTGCTGTTGTGTATAAATAATTAGAGGATGCTAAATACTAATCAAAGAAAAGGAGATGCTGTTTTTAACCATGATCTTTAGTGCAGTTGTTTGACTATGGCTACAGTAACTTGTTGAGTTTGACTTGTTCTCTGAGATTGGTCAGCCTGGTCTAATTGATAAACATGTTTATGGGATTCTAACATCCAATCTAGTCTACTTGGATAAGTTTAATTTCATAGTTTCCTATCAAATATAAAATCAAATCAAATTAAATCAAATTTACACTACTAAGCAATATTTAAACTAACTTTTAAGCAGCCCTTTAAGACTGAGTTAATCTTCCTTGTGACATCTCCCTTTTTAATTATTTATGTTTGACTTAATGGTATTTTATTTATGAGCTTCAATCATGATGTTGTGAGTTTGAGGTTCTTGCATAAATATGTGCTCAACTATTTTGAGGGCTTATTTATGGAACAAAAAGTTGAAGAAAATAAAAAACTTGTGTGGGCTTCAAGTATTACCCAGTGCAGATTTATACTACCACTAAAGAAGGGCACTTGAATTCTGTACTTGCAGTCATATTAAGCAGATGATTTTGGCTGATTGAGTCGTTTTATAATTACAGTATTGGTCTTTGCTGGGTATTGAGCATTGTCATGATATTCGCTGTCTAAACTCTCAAATTCAAGCCCTTCCTAGACTGAAAACAGGTTTTTGCTGTGCATCTCAATTTTAGCCAAGTTTAGCTAGACCAGTCCTTGGATGCATGTTCGTGTTGGAGATTTGTTTTATGCCCTTGTCTGTTGTTAAGGTTGAGCTTTCATGTTGGCCTTGAAACAATTGCAGGATAGCATACTTATTTATTTACACCGTAGTGAGAATAAATTAAAATGTTTTAGGTGTGACATGTATGCAGAGCAGAGATGGACTTCCCTTACCATAATTTTATTATTTTTCTCACATGTAGATGGAAGTAAAGCTTAGTGAAGAAAAAGATCTTCTGCACCAAGATAAGTGGCAGATCTGCCAGGATTTGAAGCAGTTTTTGCAGCCTGTTCGCGAAAAGTTGCTTCAGTTTGAGCAGGAACTCAAAGATAGGTAGGAGAGCGGTCAGAATGGGGTTATGTCAAATGGAAACCCTGGTTTTGATCACAATTGTTACTGTAACTGTATTTTATGAGTTAATTTTAGCAAGTATTTCTTTGGATTCTTTTAAGGGAACATAAGATAATCAAGGAAGTGACTTTTTTCATGTAATCCTTGGAATTTATTGCCACTGATGAGGGATTGATAGAACTTCATTTCAAGTTTGCTTGGGTTGTTTCTCACATTTGATATTGGAGAATTTTTATGATCCTTACATCTGAAATTTTCATTTCCTTTATATGTTCATGACAACTAATAAAAATGAGCTTTTTTTTTTTTTGGTCTCTGGAGATGGGAGATTTCGTTCGTCTTCCAAGTTTATTTTAGTATGAGTCATAAACTTAGGAACCAGTATGCAATTTCTTTAAACTTAATTGATCATGGACACGATGATAAAAAGCATCATAAAACTAGTGTGTCAGAAGTTAACTGGACACGGCGAGATTAGTCTAAGGCTTATATGAATAGATCCAAAAATAGTATGAGAACTTTTAATATTATTTCTACTCATGGAGTGTTTGCAGCGTATTGCTGATCCTTTCGTGTAATAAACAGTTTATGATAATGTTTTTGGCAAAATAAAATTTGGTCCGACAATCCCATAGCGTTCAAAACATTTTACCGGAAGAAGGTTATTAGGTGTTGGGTCTTTGTCTACTGTGGATACACTGATGGAAACTTAATTGATGCAACACCTGAAACTAGAAGCTAGAGTAACAAGTAAACCAACGATAAGTTATTACCAGCAAGTTTGCTCAAACATGGTAATAAAGAGCAGATAAAATGGCAGAACCCAATTTGGTAAGACCTAAGAAGCTGAAGTTGGACTGATCCTGACAAGTATACTACAAATTTGGTTCCTCCTAGTTGAGGTTCTGGCACCAATTTACAGATGTGGAAGTATTTCTCGAGGGAGTTGCAACAGTGAATACATTGCAGTAAAACTCGCAATCTTTGAAAATTTTACGACATAAGCACATGCAACTGTTAATAACAGGAAGCAAGAACCAACCAAAAGCAACAAATAGAAGTGATGAGATACAGATACACTAATATTTTCACAATTGCGTTCCTTCTTTCTTCTCAAATCTCGTTAAAAGTTTAAATATTTCATACCTCACATTCTAGTAAAAAAAGTAACTATCCAAGAATCCTTTTTTTTTGGCACTATGGCATTATTGCTGTATTTTCTAGTTAAAGCATCCTTAAACATAGAACAAGATATGGAAGCTTTACTCAAAGCCAACTGCAGTTCGTATAAATTACTGTTTACTTATGATCACCTAATAAACGAAAATTCCCAAGAAGATTCTAAATGATCTGGTCTTTAAGGCTTCTCCTTATGACGGGGCAACAGCAGGTGACTTCTGCTTCTTTGGTGGTGGATTTCCTCCAGAAAGCACCACATACGAGTAGAAACACAACATAGCAACACTGTTATAGACCAAAAAAAAAAAAATGTTTATTTATGCTCCAGTTAACACTAAATATCGGTTACCAAAAATAGTAAAACCACATATAAATTACCTGATGGCAGCATAAAAAGCAGTTGGAATTAGCTTCTTTGTCTGCATCCAAATACCATATACAGTTAAGAACAAAAGAAATCAGCTAGCCAAAAGGCGAATAGCAATATTGCAATGATGCGAATACTACCAATGAGTAGGTCTCATAGTTCTTCCACAAGAGGATTGCTGAGAGCACTGCAAAGTCACAAAGATGAGGTATCATAAGATATGTTCTGAAGAATGTTCATGCCTATATAAAATAAAAGTGACACCAAAGTATATTGTTGAATTTCAATATTGAAAGCCTTTTTACATATACCTAAATTTAAGGCAAATATACGCACCCTCTTCAGTAGATATTTAGCACTTTATGTACACATCATAAGTCACCATGCAAACTATTGAGCTATTACAATTGAAAAACTTCATTGTAAGGTACATTTCATGGTGTAAACTATCAACATATGAACCTATCTAATCTGTTCCTCAAAAGTGAAAACTGCTATTTGAATATCATTCAAAGCATTTCTTTAGCCTCTTCAATGAATGCTGGCATCCACTTTAACAGTGATAAGGCCGTTTTACAAGGTAAGAACTCATATGTACATTTATACTCTTCTAGTCCTTAGTGCTCCAAAAGTTTCAAGTACTCAAGCCAACCTATTACCTATCCACAAAAACTAATCACAAGTAATCTACAACCTTGATCATGCAAATTAGTTTCACTGTTGGACAAGGTTTGCATAAACTATCATGATCTTTTCAAACCTCCCCATATTCTCTTTTCTGTCATTAGCTCACTGCTATGCAAGGTAAGGACAAGATATGTGCATTTATTTAAACTCCATCCATTTATGTGATCTCCAACACATAATATACCTAATTCTTGCTTCTAATTTTAAAAAAGATTGTTGGAGCTTAAATGCTATTGTTGGGCCTTACCTATTGACTTAAAAATTCTAGAATTAATGGTAACTCAACATAGGAACAAAGATATTTGACCAGTAAGTCTTGTCTTCAAACACTGGCAAACGCTAAATTCTATTAACTATTTTATAACACAAGGTCTTTACAAATATCCATTAAAAATAAAAAGGAACTAGTACAACCAAATAAGAGGCCAAAAAAGCATGAAGATATTGATTTTTCTTCTTCCCATTCATTTGTTTCCAGTTTGTTTCTTGCACTAAACTTCTTCTTTCCAAGAAATGAATATATAGCTCCACAAGAAAAAGGAAAAAAAATCACAAATATGAACTTTGACAGAGAAAATAATGTGATGTCACAGGAAGTTCTAACCTGCTTGTCCTATTATGTGTGGTAAACTTGATTTTCCTTGTCTCCAGGTCTTTAAGCTGAAAGTGCTGAGAGTTAGCAAAGCCCCTCCAATTATGATATTTCTAAACGTTGCAGGATTTCTTGAGAATATAAGACCAATAAGGCCCCCACCTAGAACANACTAAACTTCTTCTTTCCAAGAAATGAATATATAGCTCCACAAGAAAAAGGAAAAAAAATCACAAATATGAACTTTGACAGAGAAAATAATGTGATGTCACAGGAAGTTCTAACCTGCTTGTCCTATTATGTGTGGTAAACTTGATTTTCCTTGTCTCCAGGTCTTTAAGCTGAAAGTGCTGAGAGTTAGCAAAGCCCCTCCAATTATGATATTTCTAAACGTTGCAGGATTTCTTGAGAATATAAGACCAATAAGGCCCCCACCTAGAACAAGACTACCTGCGACAAAGTAGAACTTAAGATTTTGCACAAATCCAACTGCCTTATTTTATAAAAACTGAAAGAAAGCATCATAACTAAACTAAACAAATATATGTAACATTGGGTTGAAGTTATACTATCAACATTATTTTTACCTGTAGCTATTTGAATAAATTGGAAAGGAAAAGATAGTGAAAAAGGAAATTTCAATAGAACAATTGAGAAAAGAAATACTTTCTTTCTGTTGTGAACTCTGCAAGGCCTTTGGTTTACACCAGAAACCAATTCAGAAATGAAATTCAATTCTAGATGTTAAATGGTCATTCCAGCTCAATCTGATTTAGTCCATGATGCTGCTGACTCAGGACATTTCATGGGTTCAAGAATGAGAAAAGACGATAGTCCAAATCTTCATTGAGAGGACATATTATAAAACAACATCTGAAGTCATTGATATTAGACCCATAAAACAATCTAAACACTGCTAGCATAAAATTTAGTCAAAACAAAATATTGGAGTAAGTGTCTCATAGCCACAGTACATAATGTTTTCAAACATTATCACCTTTCCTCATTAATGAATAATACAATTATTTAATATGCAAACAGAGAAAAAATATGTAAAATAAAAAGCATAGTTAAAATTTGAATATAGAGTTCCACACTTGGAATAACAACTCACTTTTAGTGGTTAGAATTTTATTTTACACCTTAAAACTATTAGAAAAAATAAAATAAAATAGCTTTAGTACGACTTCACAAACTTTAATAAATTATTCAGTCTCATTTTAATGTTTAATAATTACATGAAAGCGAAAGGCTACTCATACTCTCATGCCACACTTTTAAAGTCATTCAAAAATAGCGAGAACATTTTAATGTATAACTAAAGTTTAGAACACATTATGGATTTGACAAGCAAGCTATAAACCATGATCACAAAAGCCACAAATTGCCAGAAAGAAAATATAAATGAAAGACCAAACAGATAGAAAAATATCAAATTCACTTACAAATGTATTTTTAAAGAGGCATTACTACATCATCATGCTTAGGCATTAATTTTGTTACTATAAAACAATGGCAAATGGCAATGGCACCTAAATTACTACAATGTATCCACATAAATAAATGATCAACTCAATCATCTGTTCAGCTATAGAAACAAAGTTCAGGGAATCCTTTAGCAAGCATTAAAATAAGGATGAACGAAATAAGTTGTCCATTGTCTTTTCAAGTCCCTTCCCCACTGAAGAGTACATACTAAGACTTTTCACAAGACAAAGCTAACTCACCATAAGGAATTCCAAAACAGAAATCATGGATTTTTGCTCCCTTTTTCTGTTGCGAGACTCCATCGTCATGTACCTGCTCATTGGCTCCCATTACCCGAGCAGCATGTTCTTCTTCTACATCTGGATATGACTTAGCCGTCCGTTCAACATATGGTTTTGATTCGTCAGCTGTATTACTTAGAGTAGTTTTAATCTCAGAGCTTGTAGTATTCTCTCCTCTCCTATCGACACACATTACAACCCATGACTGAAAAGTAACACCAATTACCATCGCTTCCATGCAATTATACCAAAATAAACAGTTCCCTTAAAACCATTATAGAAAGAAAAAAACCCAAAAATCATTCCACAGGTATTAAGCACTTAAGGAGTTCAACTCCATCAAAATTTATCCAATACAAGCAACATCCAAAAACAGCTATCAACTATCTCACAGATTGTAACATTCCACAAATCAAAACCCTTACATGTGACAAAGTGCTTTCTGTAATAGAAAAGCACTTCCAAATAGCAAAAATCCCTTCTGTAATTTTCAGCTAAAATAAGACATAAATGCTTTATCAAACTTAAAACAATGAGTGCGATCTATAAGTTATCAAATGAAATCAAACCCACCATAAAAAAAAATGCAAAATCAGAAAGTTATAATCAAATTTGAGCACCCAAGCGTTCAAATTATCATAAAAATTGAAGTGTGCTTAATGATAAAAGAGGCACCTTTTGAGGACGAAAACTTGGGTATAAAAGAGAGCGTTGTTGAAGGTGAAATTTGCGATGGATTGCAGAGAAAGAGGAAAGCTGAGAGCTTGTGGCTGCCATGATTATGATATATGCGTTTGATTCCAATCCAAATCAAGGTGTTAAATTTTAAAGTATCTTATTTGTCAAATTATTGCATTAATATTATGACCCACGTTCACCTCTTAGTCTTTGACTCCCTGCTAGCATTCATACGGCGTGTCTACTCCCTAAACAATTTCCAGATAGAAATCTTTCTTAACACCCCTATTTTGAAAAAGTGACTGATTAGACCTTCTGAATGGTTTAACATACCACCAGCACCAGTCCACTGCTGTAGTTTCATAAATTGGTTGAAATTTAGTGCTACGTCCAGCCCAAACCCACAAGTCCATTGGGCCAAACCTATGTTCAGAGGCTTGGACCTAAAGAATATTTAATGGAATTTTACTAGAACTCTTTCACGAAAACTATTTAATAAACATTAATGTTAGGTCTATAACACAATCTCACAATATTTCTCTTATAATTTTTAACATAACAGTTCTCAATTAACCAGTTTATAAATAGACAGATGAAACATATATTAAACAGGTAAGACCCATTTGCAAGTTGACTAATTACGAGCTATTATGTTGGAGGTTATAAGATTGGATTGTGAATTAGTATTACTTATTCACATATTTACGGAGATAAAACACTAATGTCATGTTTACTTCATTCTTTACGCATGGAATCAGTGATGAAGGAAATTCCATTGATTCCTTTTCAGATTTGGCAAAAGAATGCCCATTCACCCAAAAGTGGGTAATGCTATTCTTTCCAAATTTAGGAGGAATACCTTCCAAGGGTATTTTGGAGGTGTAAATAATCAATTTGCCTCATTTTAATTTTTTGTTTTCTACCCGTTTCACCACCTAAAACAATTTATTATAATTAAATACTAATTTAAATATCAAAAAATTAAATTACTATTTTGTCCCACCAATGCAACCAGCATTGGCCACGATCACGGCTGTTGTTGCCGTCATCAGCATCACTGAGTCATGATTTCATCGTCATAGTCAGCACGTGAAGGACCATTGGTCAGCGCTCTATAGATCTGAGTGGGCTCTGGTTGTCGAAAACCGTCAGAGCAACATCATGCATAGTGGTCGAAAATACGACTGTCGCAGGTGATGTTGGTTTGGCAATCTTCGAAGGCTGGGACCCATCCAAATCCGTAGATAGTTGGGCTGATGATCCATCACATGCTGACGGTGACGACGGTAGCATAATGACGATCCACCGTCTGGTAGTGTAGACCAGCTTTGACCGGTTTTCAAATATTTTTAATTTAAATATAAAAATAATATATTTATATTGAAAATTATTAATTTAATTTTAATTTATATTTGCAATATTTAGTTTCAATTTAAATATATTAAATTATTATGTTATTTTTGCCAAATATATCTTTAAGGATTTTTATTGTCCAGCAAAATATACATATAGTAATTTATATGGTTCTCTAAAAATCACAAATTTTATTTCATTCCATCGTTATTCATCAATAAAAGTAAATAATGTAACCATATTTTATTCCCTTCACATATTTCCATTACCCCATGCCCATACCCACCATTCCCATTTCAATGCATTCCAATTATTGCCACGAAGTAAACGCGACCTAAGATATAGATAAGAGTTTGTATGCTTTTATGACTTATATTGACCGTTCATCTTGTTGGATATGTATGGTTCTAGACCATGACATATTCTTATATGATCTAAACGTGACATATATGAAGACCTTATCTCAACCCAACAAAATCGGGTCGGTTCGGGACAATAAGGTCGTTTGGGGGTTGAGCTTGCAATATAAGCCTAATTTTCATTTGGGCCAAAATTATTAATCGAATAATGTTACACATATAATATTTCTCATACAATATGATATGAAAAAAGATGATTAAATAAAAATTTATTTTTAATTTAAAATCAGTTAATTATCTTTTATCATATCATATTGTATAAAAATATTGTATATATAGTATTATGCTTATTGGCCTTTGACTTTTAAGAGTCATCTAATTAAGCAAATGTTATAAACCTTAAAAAAGCCCAATTTTTATAGGATTGTTAAAATATTAAATTTATAAAAAATTAATAACGAAACCCAATCTAATTATTTATTGTGCCCCGGATTAAAGCAAATTTAATTAACTATTGTCTCTTCCGATTGAAGTACAAATTTATAATTTAACAAAATTATAAAATAAATCCAACATTTTTTCATGATAGTTGCGAATTGCAAATTGGATTTGCTCAACAAATTCCTCATGATTATAGCAGTTCCTGTTATTCCCAATTTAATCGACAAAACGAAACAAATATTAAAAGCAATTAATAATTACATGTCCAAAACAAATCAATCACAACGCAATTGTTTAAATTATTAAACAATCAAAGATATATGTAAATTATTAGTAATCTTAAAAAAAAAAAAAAGCAGTGTTTGATATGACTTCAGCCCTAAATGTAAAACAAAAAATCATATTAATTCATACCAAAACTAATATTTATTGAGATATAGATTGGACAATTATTGCTCAGACATATGAGATAGAGGTTACAATCCATGAAGAACATTCTCATATAATCTCTTGAGCTTAAAATCAAAATCATAACTTTCTTTTGTATTTATCTTTGAATATCTTTAGAGAGTGCTTTGAACTTTTATTGTGTGTATAAAACTAGATTAGAGGCAATCATTCGCAAAACACTTTGATATAATCCTTTATGTGAAATCCTATAAATCTAAAGGAGAAACCCTATCAATCTATTGTAAAGACGAAATCATGTGAAAACTAGTGTAAAGACAAAATCTTGTGAAAACTAGTATAAAAGTGAAATCTGATTCTAGTGGAACTTCAAAAAGATTGCCTTAAAGAAGTAGACGTATAAGGCTTGTAGATATAGCTTCGAACCATTATAAATCTCTGAGCAGTTATCTTCCCTATCTCTCATATTCATTGCTTATTGAATGCTCATACTTGTCTCATGTTCATAAATCATATTTATTGTTTATAGCATATTTGTTGATAAATAGACTTCATTTATTGCTCATTCATTATTGTGTTAGGGTTATTTGAGTGCTTAAAACATTTGAGTTGTTGGAGGCATCTTCACGTTATTTGCCTTAGTCTTTTTCTTTATTAAGAGTATGGGTGGAAAAAACTGGTTAACCGGTATCTTAAACCGAACCGATTTTCAATTTAAAAAAAAAAATTGAACCAAAAATTCGGTTTGGTTAACCGGTTAATTATGATGCGCTGCATTTGTTCAGCCCAATTTAGTCAAACCCTCCACTCTAGCCCTTTTTTTTTTCAGGTTTTTTTTTTAACTAGAATTAAAGTTATATTTATTGTAATTGAATAATTTGAATTTATATAATTTTAATGTACATCAATGATTAATAATTTAAAATTACATTAGTGAAGACCTAAGGATAATTTTTTAAAATATGTGCAAAATATAAAATTTTTTTTTTTTAAATTGAATTTTGGAAAATGCGCATTAGTGAAGACTTAGGGATAAATTTTTTAAAAATTGAAAAATATAAAATTATTTTTTTATTCATTAAACAGGTTTAAAAATCTAGTTCGGTTAACCGTTTTTGTTATTTCAAAAAACCAAAACCGAACCAATATTCGGTTTATAAAATATGGCAAACCGAAACCAAACCGAATATCCGGTTTACAAAATATGGCAAATCGAAACTAAACCGAAACAAAAAAAACACCAAATTTTTGGATCGATTTTTTGGTTTGGTTCCATTTTTGGTTTTTTTTTTTTTATAGCACTAATTAAAAGTAGTGGTGCAAGGTTGTAGCGGGGCCGGGCCGGGCCACTCTTCGAAGTGAAATTTTTGCAAAAAAGACAAAAAGTTGTGAGTTGGCTCACCCACATGTCATAACTCGTGGTCAATGTAGGAAAAAGGAAGAAAATAACTATGTCAAACTTGAAGCAATTTGCATCTACCCTCGTGAATCAGATTTTTGTATTCAAATATTTTCTAATTGTGATAAACTTAATTGTTGTAATTTCCAAATTAGAAAAAAATACGAAAATAAAAATTTGATAATTAGAAAAATTTGATGTGGTAAAGAATCTTGTTAAAAACAATTTGGAGTTTCATGGAAAATATGAAAAATAAAAAAAATTAATCATGATAATTAATAATGGAAAATTTATAAGTTTAATTGAAATGATTATATAATTTGATCCAACAAGGCATGAACGTATTAGGACGTACTAAAAATGGGAAAATTCATTAAAGCTACCTTAACCATAATATACAAAATGTCAGCACATGAAAATAAAAGTTTAATTATTACTTAATTGTGCTGTAGATGCCAATCATCAAGGGTAGTGCCCGAATTTCCCTAGGGCTAATAATGTAAATGTTTCCAAAGGTCTTTCTTACTTGCACACCAAGTAAACAATCAATGAGATATATTCCTAATGAAGTAGAATCATAGTTCAAAGAGGAACTCTAGGAGGAATTAAGGAAGTGAATGAAGAGTGGATCCATTCTAAGTGAGAATTAGATCCCAAGTTCTCCCAAAAAACCACTTTTTCCTCATTTTGTCGAATCTGCTACTCTACCAAGGGAAGTATTCTCCTAAAACTCTCTCTGCTTCACTATAAAAGTAAACTAATGGCATGGACCATCTCTTTTCTAACCCTGTGATCTCGTAGGAACCTTATCAAATATTGTAGGGAGAAGCATTGCAATCGAGAACAACTCCAAAGACGCCAATCCAAGGGCAAGATCGCGATTTCCAAGTTGGTCGAAATTTTGGCATCAACAACGTTTACACTAAGATGTGTATAATTTAATCAAATCCAATAATAATAGATGACACAACTAGAAATGACCTTTGTTGGATGCAATAATAAAAAATCTTGAACTTAATGTTAATGATATAAGAGGACAATTATATGATAATAGATCTAATAAAAAAAGGAAACTAACAAAGTATCCCAAAAAAGACTATGGGAAGTTGGTAACTAAATTTTAGAACATTTTATACCTTATGTGGTTGTTACAATATAAATATAGTTCTTTGTGTCATGACTAACTCTTTCCTCGAGTTATAACAACTTTTGGTGTAGTAGAACGGATATATTCATTATTCTTTTCTTCAATTAAGCAATGAATTTTTTTACAGAATAATAATTTTAACAATGAACATCACCAACA